ATAACCTCCTGACCTCACATATTCTCTTTAGACCCAACTCGTACATCACACATGTATTTTGTAGATGAATATATAGTGGTATTTCTTTACAAAAGAGGGTATTTTTATTTTTGTCAAAAGGATTTTGGATTCGACTAATTTAGAGTTGTTTGAGTCGATTGTTGTTCTTCTGAAGGGAAGAAGTCAAAGAGTTTTTGTATAGGTGAAGTTCCTATCGCAATGTGATTTGATTTGATCTCATGATATCCGCATCTAAGCTTGAAGAACATCTACTTTGTTTTTCAACGATAATAATTGTGTTTTTATCGATAGGTTTATTCAGGTCCAGGTGACAAGCCTATGATCGAGGTAACTTACAAAGGTGAAAAGAAGCAATTCTCAGCTGAGGAGATTTCATCCATGGTGTTGGTCAAAATGAGAGAAACAGCAGAGTCTTTCTTAGGATTCAAAGTGAAAAACGCGGTCGTAACGGTTCCAGCATACTTCAATGATTCACAAAGACAAGCAACTAAAGATGCTGGTGCTATTTCTGGTATGAATGTTTTAAGAATTATAAATGAGCCTACTGCTGCTGCTATTGCTTATGGTTTAGATAAAAAGGCTTCAAGAAGAGGTGAACAAAATGTACTTGTTTTCGATTTGGGAGGCGGAACGTTCGATGTCTCGATTTTGACTATTGAAGAAGGGATATTTGAAGTTAAAGCAACTGCAGGGGATACACATTTAGGTGGTGAGGATTTTGATAATAGGTTAGTGAATCATTTCGTGACAGAGTTTAGAAGGAAACATAAGAAGGATTTGAGTGGAAATGCTAGAGCGTTGAGAAGATTGAGGACCGCGTGTGAGAGGGCGAAGAGGACTTTGTCGTCTACGACTCAAACGACTATTGAAGTTGATTCCTTGTTTGAAGGGATTGATTTTTATGCTACGATTACTCGAGCTAGATTCGAGGAATTGTGTATGGATATGTTTATGAAGTGTATGGAGCCTGTTGAGAAGTGTTTAAGGGATGCTAAAGTTGATAAATCTCAAATTCATGAAGTTGTTCTTGTAGGTGGATCAACTAGGATACCGAAAGTTCAACAACTATTGCAGGACTTTTTTAATGGGAAGGAGCTTTGCAAGAGTATAAATCCGGATGAGGCGGTCGCGTATGGGGCCGCGGTTCAAGCAGCTATCTTGACTGGTGAAGGTGATGAAAAAGTTCAAGATTTGCTTTTACTTGATGTTACACCATTGAGTCTTGGACTTGAAACTGCTGGTGGTGTTATGACAACTTTAATACCACGAAACACGACGATCCCAACGAAAAAAGAACAGATTTTTTCGACTTATTCGGATAGTCAACCAGGTGTACTAATCCAAGTCTATGAAGGTGAAAGAGCAAGAACAAGAGATAACAATCTTCTTGGAAAATTTGAACTCTCTGGTATCCCTCCAGCACCAAGAGGGGTTCCGCAAATCAACGTCACGTTTGATATAGACGCGAATGGGATACTAAACGTGACCGCGGAGGACAAGACTGCAGGGGTGAAGAACAAGATTACAATTACAAATGACAAAGGGAGATTGAGTAAAGATGAAATTGATAGAATGGTAAGAGATGCTGAGAGGTATAAATCTGAAGATGAAGAAGTGAAAAAGAAAGTTGAAGCAAAAAATGGACTTGAGAATTATGCATATAATATGAGGAATACAATAAAAGATGAGAAAATTGCAAGTAAATTGAGTGTTGAGGATAAAGAAAAGATTGAAACTAGTGTGCAAGAAACTATAGAGTGGCTTGATAAGAACCAATTGGCTGAAGTTGATGAACTTGAAGACAAGTTAAAGGAACTTGAAGGGATATGTAATCCTATAATTGCAAAAATGTATCAAGGTGGTGGTGATGGCGGTGGTGGTGGTCCGATGGACGATGATCAAATGCCCGGTGGTGGTACCGGGGCCGGTACGGGACCTAAGATTGAAGAAGTTGATTAGATGTTGCAATAGATTGAAATAGTTTGATGTTTGTTTGTTTCAACTTTTTTTTTTGTAGTTCTTATGTTTGATCTTGTTTTTAGGTGTGTAAAGAATGTTTATATGTTTGGACTTTAGAAGTTGGTTTTTAGTTTCTTGTTGTAATAATGAATATGTTTATGCTATTTGTGTTTGTAAGTTGATTTTTAGTTTCTTGTAATAATAATAATATGTTTGTCTTTGTATCAACTTTAGTTTGTTGTGTGTGTGAGAAAATTTATTGTTCTTGTGTGTTGTCACTTATTTTTAGTTCTTATGTTTGACCTTGTTTATGTTGTATTTACTATGTTTAGTATTTATCATGTATAGTAATGTATAGTATTTATCATATATGATTTTCATGTAATATAAGGAGATAATCTCTTTTTAGAATAGTAATAATATGTTTATACCCTTGTGAAGTTGTGTTTGTATGGCTGGTCATCGTTTTATAACGTGTGATTTGAAGTACAATATTTATTTAGGAATTTAGAAGGTATAATATAAATAATTTAGGAAAGATTATTGAAATCATTATTACTTACCTTATTATAATTGTTTAAAGAGGTTTATAGCTTATTTGACTTGTAGTCAATTAAGCTATATGGTCTTTGGTATTTTTAACTATTTAGTTAGCATTTTTTACTTGCTAAATCATGCATTTTTTAAAGTATTTCTATTCCTGAGTATAGATTCAGTAATGCATTGTCATGTTGTTGGTGCTGTATAATAGCTAACTTAAAATATACGTGTAACACACGTATCGAGAAATTAGTTATATGTTAAAACATATGAATTATCATGTTACTTTAAACGAGTCATCTAAACTGTGTTTTACAGTTGTGATAACAATCTTTAACATTAGTTATATTGTTGTTTGTATCGAAAACATATGGATCATCATGTTACTTTAAACACGTCATCTAAACTTTGTTTGACACCTGTGATAACAATCTTTAACATTAGTTATATTGTCGTTTGTATCGTTTTACTTTGTGATTTCAAGTGTCATGATCTTAGAAGTTAATGATATAAAAAATTATCTAAACCCAATTTATATTATTGCACTTTTTGTTGTACTTGTGATTTTAAGTATCATAGTTTTTATATCAGAAGTATTGATATTTATCTTGGCTAAAACAAAGGTTATACAAGTTCTTTTTTTTTTCCCACCTGGTTATACAAGTTCTTTACACAATTTTTTTTTCAATATCATGTTAAAAATATGTCTATCTTTACCTTAAGTAAGTCTTTTGAAGTTCAACTTACACGTAGAAAAAAACTTTTTAAAATCATTATATCGTTTTTGTCGTATTTATTTGTGATTCCAAGAGTCAAAATCAGTGTATTAAAAATTATTAATGATACAAATAACTAATAACGGAGAATGTTATAACTTATCTTTGATCAAAATAAATACTATACAACATTTTTTTCTATAATATAATTTTTCAATATTATGTTAAAACATGCATGCATGTAAATCACGTTACCTCAACTTATAGGTTATTTGAAGTTCAATTTACACGTCGAAAAATAGATTTTGTAACTTCATTATGTCGTTCTCAGCGTTTATTTGGAATTATTAGAAAGACTAGTTTTTGCCTTCATTAGTTAATGAAATGCATATCTAACATACAAGTCAAGCAAGTTTCTTGGGTGGTACAAAGAATTCTGAAAACTGTCCAATATTTACAAGAGGCTGACTATACGTATTGAGACATGTATAAGAGTCATAGAAAAGTACTCCATTGGCAAATACGCAGATGAAAGGTACAATGGAGAAGGTAGAGTGGAGATCACTGGTGTGGATGAATACGTGGGAGCTCCTAAATGACTGTTCATTTTGTACCTAGCAGTATATGAAAGGCTTGCACCTAAAGATAGATTGACTAAAACGAGGTGTGATACAGTCTCCTATATATCCTCTATGTCAGCAGATGAATGAGGATCTCAACCACATGTTCTTTCAATATGCATATGTTGTAGAAGTGTGAAGTAAAATATTAACTCGACAAGGTATTAATAAAGGCATAATGAACTGGATAGCTGAGGTTTACTAGACAATCAAGTATATGAAGGATAAACGTAGCACAATACTTGTGTATAAATTGACAATGGCTAGCACAATGTATTGCTTATGGTTGGAACATATTAACATGATATTTAAGCAGAAGAAGCAACTAGCAAGTTCACTTATTAAACATATTATTCAGGAGACGCATGAGGGAGACAATCGATATCTACTTGCTAACATGTTTTGAATATGTATCCATATGGTGTAGCTAGTTAGATATGAGAGTTAGGCTTTAGCAAGGATGGAGCTTATGTCCATACATGCTGATTTTTCTTGATCTGTAGCGTTTACTTGGTAAATAGAATTTACTTACCCAAAAAAACATATAAACAAGTCTTAAATTTGACTTCAATTGATAAATAAACACTCAAACTTCGACTATGCACATCTAAACACCTTAACGTATCTGTATTATGTAAGTTAAACACTCTAATCTACAAAATGGTAATCTAAATACCTTCAAAATTTATGTACCACGTCAATATCAGGTATCCACGAGCCAAAACAGAGACGAATTGTAACATTTAATTATCATATCAGATTAAAATATCTAAATATACACTCTCCAAATTAAATTATTTACTTATTAGCCGAAATCAAAGTTTGAATACTAAATACCTACTACTTTTTTTTTTTTCCAAAATAATTTAATTACTTTTACTTCCCAAAAATAGTGTCCTTATAGTCATGACATAAATGTGTCAAAAAACTTTCATTGGCCCAAAAGCAAAACTTTGAACCATAGCCCAAGGGTAAAATAGTAAAAAAGGGCATGTATTTCCTAAAAATGCACCCAAATACTTCCTAATATACATAGTAAAAAGAATTAATATACCAAAAATACCCTCACACAAATCTCAAACTCCCAAACCTATCCCAAAAAAGGGTTTCCTTTCCCTCTTTCTCCTCTTCTCCTTCTCATAAACGGCCTCACCTCTCTTCTCTTCATTCCTTCTCCCTAGCAGAGAGAGGAAATACTCTCTCTCTCTAAAAAAAATTCTCCCTTTCTCTCTCTAAAAAGGTCACCACCCCTTTATATATACATAATTCTATCTGAGTATTTCTTCATTGTGTTAGATACATATTATTTGTATCTGGGCTTTTCTTGATTTGGGTGTTTTTTGAGAGATTTGGATTCTTTTTTTGTTCGAATTGATCGGACGGTGGAGAAATTGAGTTAAGGTATTATGCAGGCTGATCAGACGGTGTTAAGTTTGAGACCAGGTGGTGGTAACAGAGGTGGTGGAAGCAGAGTGCTTGGCCCTCGCTTTGAACCTTCCTCGACTAATTCAGATCTCCCTTTGCTTCGTCCACATGGCGGTTCTTCATCTATTTCATCTTTCAAGGTTGAATTTTTATACCCTTTTGTTCAGATCTGAGTATTTTGGTTCTATTTGGGTGTTTGGCTTTGAATTGGGTGTTTTTAGCTGTTGTTGGTTTCTGTTTTGGTTAATATTGGGTTTGTCAATCTGTTAGAGAGTCTATTGCCAATGTTGGTTGTGTCTTTTGTTCTTTTTATGGGTCTGTTTATTGGAAGGATGAGTAAATATTGAGTTTCTTTGGGTTAATTTTGGATTTTTGATATCTGTTATTGGTTTGTGTAGCTTGTGTTTAAGTCTTATTGGTAATGTTAGTAGTGTCTTTTGTTCTTTTAGGGGTCTGTTTATTGGAAGAATGAGTAAAGATTGAGTTTTATTGGTTAATCTTTGAATTTTTTGGTTTGTGTAGCTTGTGTTAAGTCTTATTGGTAATGTTAGTCGTGTCTTTTGTGCTTTTAGGGGTCTGTTTATTGGTTAATCTTTGATTTATTGGATTGTGTAGCTTGTGTTAAGTCTTATTGGTAATGTTAGTTGTGTCTTTTGTTCTTTTAGGGGTCTGTTTATTGGAAGAATGATTAAAGATTTGAGTTTTTTTGGGTTAATCTTTGATTTTATAATCTGTTATTGGTCTGTGTAGCTTGTGCTATGCCTAATTGCTAATGTTAGCTGTGTCTCTTGTTTTTTATGTTTTTTTTGTTGGAAGAATGATTAAAAATTGAATTTTTAGCATCCGAGGCTGTGACCTAGATCTCAATGAAGTGGGTGAGAACCATGAAGTCTCATGTTCAAACCCAACCGAGACAAAAAACACTAGGTGATTTCTTCCTATTTGTCCTAGCCTTATAGAGTTGCCTGGTACCTGTTGTTGGTGGGAGGTGGCATGTATCTCGTGGAACTAGTTGAGCTGCATGCAAGCCGGACCTTAATGGGGTTAATTTTTGTTAAAGAATGTGTAGTCCACCTGGTTCTTTTAAGTTGCAGAATTAGGGCTTGTCGGTAGCATAGAAATATCCATGCATCAGTATGTATTATTTCTGCCGTTATTTTTGCCTTTTACGTCCTAATTCTTGGCAGCTCACTTAAGAATGTGTTTCTGCTGTAAATATGGACGGAGAACAATTGGTAGGCTTTAGGTGGGCAACCAAGGAGTATTGTGTTGCTCATAAAGACCCTACTAACATTGAAATTCCCATCAAGTGTTACTTGTTAGAAGAAGTTCCAAGAAGCTATGCTGTTCATATGAGCTCGTTATCAGTTGGTTGCATGTTTTTCTCTAATAAAACTGGCGCAACTCAGAGAGTAGTAAACATTTCTTTAAATTGGATCTTAATGTAGCTTCTGATGACCAACTCTCTTTATTTGGACATCTCAAGTGTGCAAGTGTTCTTGATGCTTGTCACGTTTATTTACTATAATGCCTTTCTTTCATTGTTGAGATTCAATTTTAAGAACTCCTTTGTGATATGTGTCTTGACTATCCTTTTATATTTGTAGACTGGAGACTCACGTTTTGAGGGCCGTGAGTGTGTTAGGTATACTCGAGATCAGCTGCTGCAACTGAGGGAGGTAAGAGTGGTATCTTAAAGTTTTGGCTTATGTATATGGCAACCTTAATTTCTTCCTTCTTACAGTTTTTCATTGGGTTGATTGTTTGTGTCTAGGTGGTTGCCATTTCTGATGATATCCTTCGAATCAAACAAGAAGTTGAATCTGAATTGTTTGGTGAAGATGGCAGTCGAAGTCGTGCAGACACCAATGTGAGTATCTGTTAAGATAGTTGTACTTCCTTCCCCTTTATGATTTTTGTGATGTCAGGAACCCCACCCACTCACAACATGACTGCTCCTGCACAGAGTGAACAGAGAGGGAATGCTGTACTTTATAGTTACTTACACTATGAATCTCTGTTGCCACAAGTTGTCTCATTTATTTGTCTGCAGGTGCAGGTCCAATCTCAGACTCGTTATTCTGAGCCAGATAGCCGTGACTGGCGTAGCAAGTCATCACAATTTTCTGCCCCCGCAGAGGACAGATCATGGGACACTCTACGAGAAAACAGAGAATTTGGTGGCCGGCAAGAACAGCTTAACTCACAGTTTGCAAGAACTCAAATATCTCCCAACCGAGGGGTAATTCTTAAGCTAATGTATTATATCCAGAACACATCCAGTATCTATCTTAAGAAACCTCTGCTAGGAAAACAATCTGGCAGTTTTGCTAAGACACCTTTCAACACATTCTTCAGTCCCAACTGAAAATGAGAGTTGAGAAATGAAGAGAAGTTGTTAAGTTAATCATTTTACAGTACCTTGCCAAAATTTAGTGGTGGATCAGGAACTCCAGTAATTGGGCTGTAGTAATATAAAATTAGGTGTAAGGGGTTTTAGTGATATCGATTGATCATTCAATTATGATGATAGTTCTGAAAGGCAGCTAGTTTATCAGAGGAGATGTCTATTTTTCTTCACGTAATTTATTTCCATTTTTTCTCTGTTATAGCAAAGGGCATTGTTGTTGTCACGATTTTCAAAGCACACTTATATCTGATATGAAGCTATTTTCAGTTCTTGATCTCAGAAACCTTTATTTTTATCTGTGAATTAGGGAGGACCTGCTCCTACACTTGTCAAAGCTGAGCTGCCATGGTCAGTTCGAAGAGGCAATCTTTCTGATGAAGCTCGTGTCTTGAAGACTGTGAAGGGGTAATTTTTTCTCTGTAATAGTTATGCATTTTGTCAAAATATATATGCGTAATTGTTGTTCATTATCTCTCTGTCTCCCTGTCCATCTCTTGATTTCCCCTATTCGCTGCTTTATTGTATTCTGTTAGATGTCTGTATATCTCTACCTGCGCAATACAAAACTTCCTTTTGATATGTTTTCACTTGCACATGAGACTACTACATGTGGCATTAGTTGAACGTATGGATTAATCTTAACTCATTGATCGTAATTAATATTGATTACAGTATCCTCAACAAGCTGACTCCAGAGAAGTTTGATCTCCTCAAAGGTCAACTGATAGATTCAGGGATAACAAGTGCAGACATCCTAAAGGTCTGTCTTCCTTTCTCTGGCATACCTCTTTTTTAGTTGTGCTTTTGTTCACCTCAAATTTTTCCTTACCTTGGAAATTTAATGTGTTCTATCTTCACTTTCAGGGTGTTATTTCCTTGATATTTGACAAGGCTGTGTTGGAACCAACATTTTGCCCGATGTATGCCCAACTGTGTTCTGATCTTAATGAAAAGCTGCCTCCATTTCCCTCTGATGAACCTGGTGGCAAAGAGATTACGTTCAAGCGCATTCTGTTGAATAACTGTCAGGAGGCATTTGAAGGTGCTCACAAGCTGCGAGAAGAGGCGAGGCAAATGACAGCCCCTGATCAGGAGTCAGAACGCAAGGACAAAGAAAGGTTGATCAAATTGCGGACTCTTGGCAATATTAAGCTTATTGGCGAGCTTTTGAAGCAAAAGATGGTCCCTGAAAAGATTGTTCACCACATTGTTCAGGTTGGTAATTGTTTCCTTTTGCTCATGTCTTTTTGTTCCATACTGATTGCTGTCTTTAATGCATTAAACTGGAATGTAATTACTGATTTGTTAACAGGAACTATTAGGACAAGATCCCACAAGCTGTCCGGAAGAAGAGAACGTTGAAGCCATCTGTCAGTTCTTCAACACCATTGGCAAGCAGCTTGATGAGAACCAAAAATCAAGGCGCATCAACGATGTGTACTTTAATCGGTTGAAGGAACTATCAACGAACCCCCAGTTGGCTCCCCGACTGCGGTTCATGGTTCGTAATGTGCTGGACTTACGTTCCAATAGCTGGGTCCCTAGGCGGGAAGAGGTGACACCTTATTCATTCTTTCTATCTTGGATTTGTTGCCTGTTCATTCCCTAGAGTACTCTCTTATGGTTTAATATTCTTTCCTTTTTGCACAGGTGAAAGCAAAAACCATCACGGAGATTCACTCTGAAGCAGAAAAGACCTTGGGCTTGCGTCCTGGTGCCACTGCAAGCATGAGAAATTCCCGTGGTCCTCCGGCTCAAGGGAGTTTGAGCCCTGGTGGCTTCCCTATCAATCGGCCAGGCACTGGTGGTATGATGCCTGGAATGCCCGGAAATAGGAAGATGCCTGGTACACCTGGGATGGATAATGACAACTGGGAAGTTCCTAGATCCCGCTCTATGCCAAGAGGTAATGGACCACTGGTTCAGGCTGGTGGACGAAGTCAGCCACCATTGGTTGGCAAGTCGCCCGCATTGAACCCAAAACTTCTGCCTCAGGGTAGTGGTGGTTACGTGAGTGGCAGGCCTAGTGCCCTCTTGCAAGGTAGTGGTGCTCCTCCTGCTCACCCTACGGGCTATGGTATTGGCATGAACCCTGCATCACAGGTTCCCGGACCGGTTAGACCACCTTCAACAATTGTTGTTTCTCCAGTTGTTGCAAAACCCCAGGCTCCTGCTGCAAGTTCGACACCTGATGTACTAAAGAGAAAAACTGCATCTCTTCTTGAGGAATATTTCAGTGTTAGGCTTCTGGAAGAAGCTTTGCAGTGTGTTGAGGAGCTCAAATCCCCAGCCTACCATTCTGAGGTTGTCAAAGAAGCAATATCAATTGGTCTAGACAAAAGCCCACCATGTGTTGAACCAGTTGCACAGCTTCTCGAACACTTGTTTGCGAAGAAGGTTTTTACTGCTGGGGACTTGGTCACTGGATTCTTGAATTTTTCCTCTCTGCTGGATGACCTTGCCATGGATCTTCCAAAAGCACCGGTAAATTTTGGTGACATAATATCAAGACTAGTTTTGGCTGGAGCTTTCGACTTCAAGGTGGTCAATGAGATCTTGAAGAAGGTAACCGATGATCTATACCAGAAAGACGTATTCACAGCTACAATGGGATCTATTAGCTCTAGTCCTACAGGCCAAGCAGTATTGGATTCACAAGCATCCGATGTTGAGGCATGCAAAGCTCTCTTTCAATAAAAGCTCGATCAACTCTTTGAGAAGATCGATTTTCTGTAACCTCAGTAGATGGAATGTACTCAAAACTCACTTTTCAGCATTTCTTGTTGATGTCCAATGGAGTTTAGAGCAACTGAACCGCAGGATGGTCGAGAGCAGGTTGATTTTTAAGTGAGTTGTATTTTTTGTTTTCCCAAGGTGAAAGTAGTATGTTGAAAGAAAGATTTTGCCTTTTGAGGATGGTTAATTGTGTACTTCATATTTGCTCTAGGCAAAGAGGCCCTTATTTTGTATTTCATTAGTTATTTATTTATCTCCTCTCTTTTGACTAGATGGATTAAAAGTTTTGTCAAATCTGTTGAGTTCATACTTCAACTCCTTGAGCCTTTCTATACCATTTTTGAAGGAAAATTCCGACACATTTAAGTTTTATCTTCTGCTGGTTCTGTTATGTTTTTGTATATGTATAATTTGCTTTTCTTTTTGTTTCGTCTTTTGAGTAGTATGTTGTGATTTAAAAGGGTTCTTGAAGTTCTACTCCTAGTGGTTGAATTCTCCATCATATCTTTGCTTCCATCAGTATTCTATACGGTCGAAAACAACATCTTTATCTCACAAATTTAAGGGGTAAGGTTTGTGTACACCACCCTCTTCCTACCTTGTAGGATTTTACTGAGAACAACATCTCGATCTCACAAATCTAAGGGGTAAGGTTTGTGTACACCACCCTCTTCCTACCTTGTAGGATTTTACTGAGTCTTTAGGTGTGTAAGCTCACACTCAAAATTCCTTCTGAGCTATTACCTGATTTCCCGCTCTATTTGACATATCGTAAGAAGGGGGGTTCTACTTAAAATGACTCTATTCCATTGAGATTTATAAGAACAATCGAGTGTCCTTGTTGTGCTCCTTTGATATGAGTACAATTTAATGGAGATAACCAATATTGTTATGCAGTATCATTTTCTCTTGTATGATTGACCAACACCTAATATTAATATAATATTGTAGTTTTCAACTCGTTCAACTAAATACTTGTATTATTTTGTATGTTAAAATTTATGCTAGAATTATTTTCTCAAATAGAGCCACCATATTTAACGATCGAAGTGCATATTACTCGGATTATTGTACCACCATTCAAGTTATATCCGTTATACTTAAAATATTATAAGTACACTCATTTCAAAACAATTTTAGATATGTAAGCACTTACAATTGCTTCAATTATTTTTACTTGAACTTTAGAGAAATATGACTAGTTTAACTATTTTGTGCTTGAATTACGACCATATGTACCTGAAGTTTAGTCATTTTTAAACTCCGCATGTGTAAAGTTATTCTAAAATTAATAGACATTTAAATTTCGTTTAAATATGACCTACGGAATATGGGAAAACTACATAACTAAGCAAACATATTTAATAAAAATACTTTTTAGTCCAAAATCCAAAAAACTCACGCGAGTAACGTTTTATAAACAAGCTAACTCCCGCCATTTACCACTGTGAGAGAAATGGAGATTTTGAGAGAGCAACCGAAGAGCCACTCAGATGAATCGTTCAAACTCGCGATCGCAATGGCACTCGTCCGATCAAAGCTTCTCCACAAGCCTCCGGCAGCAACACCGGCTCCGCCTTCTTCCTCCACCGCCGCCGTTCCTCAACCTGCCGCCGCAGCTTCTTCTTCCTGCGCGCCTCTTTCTCATTCCGATGATGCTGTTAAATGGAAACAAAAAGTTCGATCAATTTCCTTTAATTCCTTCGATTTCCTATTTCTATTATCAGTTACTTAACTTTCATTTTTTAGGCAAAAGAGCGTAAACGAGAAATTCTCAGGCTCAAGGAGGATCTCAAAGTAGCCGAAGGTTAGTATTTTAAATTTTCGTTATAGTTTAAGCTAGATTGTTTAAGTTTATTTCTATTTAAATGTTTATATTGAAATTTTTTGATGATCACTGCAATTTCCTTAGGATCTATTATTATGTGATGGATTCGATTGGAAAATAACAATGTGTAGTTATGACCATCTAGGCTTTACATATCTGATTATCTTGCTATATTTTGACCTCGAAATTTTGTGAGTATGTATGTATGGTAATCAAAATTGAATGATAAGAAGAATAACCTGAAGATTTTTTGTTATGTGTTTGATTTTGATTTACTATTGTGTTGTTTGTATAGGTAGATTCACATTGATCGGCTATTTTGTTTTGATTATTTGTACTTTTTTTTTTCCTGGAGTAAGATGGTTCACAGTGTGATATATTTCCAAAAAGTGCATCATGCAAGTGTTATTTCTTTGATAAGTTGGGATTATTGAGTCCTAAGAAAATTGGAGCTGGTTCTGACCAACGGTTCAGTGATGTGTTGCGGAGAAGATTTCTCAGACAAGGTTTGCATTTTAGGAATGCTGTTGTACTTATTGGTCTAAAGTTGTCAATTCAGCCTTCATATACATTAGCTGAATTCATTTACTTGTATATTTTTCCAGTAAGGATTAAGGAGAGAAAGAGGAGAAGACCAGATGATTCCTTACTTCACCGCATTTCAGGTGAAAGTTCAGTTAGAGATCTTTTTATGGATATAATTTTGTCTTTACTTTTGATGGTTAACTTGCAAAGTGATGATTTTTAGAAGTTACACTGAGTTGAGATCTTATCATACGTCAGCCATGCTGTGATAAATGTCATATCTTACATGTGCCATAATTTTATCTCTGGAAAACTCTAGGTCATGTTTGGCAAAATTTTCTAAACATGAGTTTTCAGCTATAGATGAGAAGTATGAATATTGCTTTTTCTTATATGGCAGAACATGACAATGAAAATAATGTTGAGCAACTGAGTGCTTCAGTTGATTTTCTTTTGGAGCTTTGTGACACTATTTCTCCTCAAAGTGTATGTTGTTTCAATTAGCCCCAGCTAGTGATGCTTTGTTTTATGCTATGAATATCGTTTGTCTCATCTCACTTGGCTTTTGTACCAAATGTGTTACAGTTGGAGGAAGGTAATTTTAAGAACTGGTGCCACCAAGCCGTGGACTTTATTCTTGGTAATGATACAATATTTTCATTTCCTTTTGCCTTCACATGTACAATTTTTTCATGAGCAACATCTGGAAATTTTAAACTTTAATTCCTGATATGCTTTTCTGTTTGTAATACACCCACGTTTAATAATTTCACAGATGTACTGTTTATATTCTAATTTCTAGTGTTGAGGATTGTGATAGAAGCTGAAATCAAGGGGTTAATAAGTGAATGTATTATCTGTTCTGAAACTTAAATGGAAAAAAACTGTCTAGTGAAGCTTCATCCTAAGATTTGAGTTTTCAAGGAAAGATTGCTCTTTGAGAACCATCTTCATGATTTGTGCTGCCATTTTAAATGAAGCTTTCTAATTTTTACTCGAAAATGCAAAAGGTTCACGATTTACCCTTCTTTGTCAACACCTTTTTCCAAGTACCGAACCATTTCACTGCATAGAATGCCTAAATTTCTGAGATTTCAGTTGTAATATTAAGATAGCACCAGATGGGTTCATTACTGTCTACTCTTCTTTCTTTAGTGACTTCCAAATTCAGCAGTATCTGTATTTTACTACTTTAAAGGTACACTGGCTACAATGTCACCAACTGAAAGAAACAGAGAACCCGTGGAAGGCATTATCAACAGTTTAATCATGCGTTTATTGAGAAGAATGTGCAGTGCTTTGCATAGAGATGGTAATAATGTGATCTTTTTATTCATACTAGGTTTTTGAAGACTATCTTCACCTTAGCAGATTGCGGAAGTATATTTTCTCCTACCTTAATAATGGTAGAATCAGCATGTTCAATTAATTATAAAGATTTTGGTAGATATGTCCCAGTATATGCATATAAAGAACTAAGAAATGGTTTCAGCATGATACTGATAAAAGTTCTTTGGTTTGATACGTATTAAATGGAAACAAATCAGTTACTCCTATTATATAATAATGGATGTTTGATTTATTATACTCTGATCGTCCCATTTATGCATCATTGTTAATTTGACTTACAAATTCTAAATAGTAGCAATATAACAGTAAAGCAGTGGACAAATCATTAAACAAATTTGAATTCTTAAAGTTTATTGAGGTTATATAAAAGATAATATTGGTAGAGTATTGTAGAAAGTTTTTCGACATATCAAAATAAATATAGTATCATAAATTTGGACAGAGGGAAGCAATATTTGTGATGAAACTATCTCATAGTGTAGAAAGACACCTTAAATTTTTTTGCAGAAGAAACAAAAAAATTGGTGTTTCCACACGACATAGATCATGTAAAATGCTTCTATTCTTTTGGATGGATGCTGAATAATATTTATGAATAAATTATTTATATATGAAGGAACAAACTATTGTGATGATGATTCTGAAAGATTCATTGAATCTAATTCTTATTAGTTTAAAAATATGGATTATATTGAATAGTTAGAAGCAAAGACCAGTGAAATCAAAAGAGGACAGACCCTTGTGACCCTGTTATCGTTGGACTGATTATTAGTTTAGTTGGATCATGAGTCTGAATTTCACAGCGATTTAAAGTGATTTTTGCTCTTGGACCGCAGCATTTTCATTATTAAATTCCTCAATGTAACTTACTTATATTTCCTTCTATATGGCTTCTTAACTCTTGATTCCATAATGATATGATTCAGACTCTCATCACTTTGACGCTGATGTTCAGTTCTATATTCAACATTTGATGCGTAAGGTCGGAAATGAGGCTTTTGTCGGCCAGCGTCTAATATTTGCAGTTTCTCAAAGGATTTCTGCAATGGCAGAAAGTTTGCTTTTCATGGATCCATTTGATGATGCCTTTCCAAGTATGCATAATTCTATGTACATGATGTAAGTCCCACCAGCTTGTATAAAGTTGTCTTTAATTATCTGGCTTTATTGTTCTTTTATGCTTCTGTTTTGTAGTTGTTTCTAACTTTCTTATCACATAATAGAGGGCTGCAGAAGGGAAAGAGAAGGGAGAAGGGGGCAGTGGGAGTCAAACCCATACATATTGTGGGAGATCCCAACTGGTACCTCTAGGCTATAAGCCTGGCTTCTTGTTTGTTAAATGCTGTCTTCCTTCAGTCATTGAAATTTGTTTCTATGCTGGTAATAATGGGATGTACAATCTGACTTCTCTATAACTATCCTCTATAACGACATTTCACTATAACAACCATTTGTTACGTGAAACTAATCTTTCATGTTATGTTATATTGTTTATTCTCTATAACAATATTTCACTATAGCTGCCAAAAAATGTCGGAACAAGTGTCCTGTTATAAAGAGGCTCGACTGTCCATTATTTTTGTCCTTACTCTTGACGAAATTTCTTTTCCTTTGTGTATGATAACATATTTTCCTTTCTGGTCATTGACATCTTTCCATATACTATTTTTTTATTTTGTGTTTCTTGTTTAGAGGTTTGAAAACACTGTAATTTTTATATCAGACCGCTTGTCCCTCCAGACTTCCCGATTTGAAGGTGTTTTTAATCTGAGGATTGGAATTTGTTCCTTGAAATTTGGAGTTCCTATGGGGAGTATGACATTTACTTCGAGTTGGCTGTTCCGTTCTTTCTTTTGTCAGTTAAGCTAACATAAAGTTTGAAATGGTTGTCTGTATGTGGTACTGTCATCATTTGCTTCTAGTATCCTCTAGTGGAGTGATCACTACTATATTTTTCGATCATCTTCACAATCTCTTTTTTTATTTTAAATGGCGGTTTTAGTGGTGTGCTCCCCTTTTCTTTAGTGTAAATAGTTATTCATTGCTTGAAACGCTGCAATGATTAAGTGATCAGAAGCTGTGCCTGCTTCAGACACAAAAAGTAAATTATGCTGCCTGAATTGCCAGATTACTTAGTTAACTTGGGGATGTTCATGTACCTCAAGGTTTATCACCGGAGTTGTGTTTAAACTTCACATTTGGAACCATAGCTTAAGCTTGCTAGATTTCTGTCTGGAAGGGGCTGTAGGAATAACGTGGCATACAGTTTACTGCCTAGTATTTGCTTTTTACTGCATCCACAATTTACTTCTTTTAATTTCTTCATTTCTTTATGAATCTTCTTGAAACTATAACCCATAAAAAGGAGACTAAAATTGTCTAATATACGTTCTCAATTGCAGGATTCAGCTTATTGAATTTCTGGTTTCAGATTATTTGTTAACCTGGTCAAAAGGTGGAGATTTCGACATAAGTGAGCTTCTTCTAATCACTTGGATACATAACACATTTGCTCTCTCTATAACCTATTTCCTCTCCTTCTATCGGGTCTGAGGAGTTCTGCCTCCGTCTGAGGGAAATTACTGCATGTGATATATATTCCCACAAGGATAATTAGCAGGCTCCCATAAATGACCTATCTGGTGAAGGTTATTTTTAATACTGTTAATGATGGAAATGGACCTGACAATATCCATACGTTTGTATTTACTCTGTAGGGCTTTTTGAAGAATGGGTTGTATCAATTCTCCTCGGAAGAAAAGCATTGGAACTTCTAGAAAACAGGAATTCTCTTTATGTCCTGTACATAGATCGTGTAATCGGAGTTGTGGCCAAGCAAGTGGGACAGTTGTCATTTCTGCAAAAGCTAAGCCCACAGATTCTTGAGAACTTGTTTAGCTAAGCACTGATCTGCAGCTTTTCCCTTGTGAACTGTAAGTAACTTGCTTTCAACACAAATCTTCTTTTCTTGTGCATAGAAAATTCAGCTGTCATCGCAAATGCTTTGTTACTTAAAATTCAAGAGTTCTTGGTTAATTAATTAATTCCCAGAGTATCAAAGATCAAAGTTCTTTTAAAGTGAAAGATGCTCTTTAAATATGAAAATATGAAACAGCATGTAAATAGTAAAATCCACTTATTGAACAAAATCTACATGACATTAGCACACCATCATGTGCCGAAAGTTAGAACAAAATCCCACATCTCTTTTTGTGGAACCAGATTCCTGGTTGAAATATGTTCCACCAAATTGTAGGCTTAAGCAAATCTTTGACTTCCAGTGGCATCACTATTTTTCATATTCCTTGTCGTCGTAGTTGAGATCTTGCATAAATGAGGTTGTTGGATGGTTTGACTTCTAGCTCTTCGTAGTTTAATCCAAACATGTTCTTTTCTCATTTTCTTCACTTTTCTTTGTGATATTGAGGGTGGCGGGAATCTGAATCTGATAAGTTTACTTATAAACAAAGAATTCCTATTTTAGTACTACCTATTGTCTTTCCCAACTTTAGAGTTGTCCCTGTCCCCACCTTGTTCATTTTTCAAACTACATTTTGAAGGGTGATTACTCAGCCCTTAAAACTTTCTTCTTTTTTTGATGGATTACTAATACCAAAAAGTTCGTTATATATTTGAAAGATGCAAAAAAGGTGTATTGTATTGGATACACTTCTGCTTTTTGCTAGATATATAGCGTCCTTCTCGACTTGCATTTAACCAAACTTGCTCCTAGCTACTACATTGTACATCATCTCTCTATCTAATTCTTGCATAGTAGACATGATTCAAGCCAAAACCATACTGGTTCTCTCATTATTAGCAACTCTTTTATTGTCCCAATACTGCAAAACCTCTGCTTCTACTGACATTCCACCATCCACTTTCAAGCCTCCAAGCCAAACTCCACCACTGGAGGAGGGACAAATATGTTGTCCTAAAACTCAAGATATTAACGTCCAGATTAAAAGGAGAGCACGAATCGTTCCTATTACTCCAAATGTGGGTGCTCGTCAAAGATCAAGATCATCATCTGCTATCGGGAAACAAATATCTTCATTGCAAGTGTATTCACCTCTGTTTTATCTCCTTTCATTTAGTTTCTTTTTGCTCTAGTAGCCATGCTAGAGCAGAAATATGGTGAAGGCCGACTTGCTTGACGGCTCAATAAAAGGAAAAATAACACATAACTTCTCCCGGTCATCCGTTTTGTGCTATCTTATTACTTGTTTAGGACTATATAATGTTAGAGTTCTTTTCTACTGTATCCTTCAAAAATTTCTACTAGTGTATCTTAGGCCTTGAGCTTGAATGGATTTGCTTAGCTATCCTTCTTTATTGCTTTAGGACAACTGACAAAGTGGCTTTATATTCAAAGGCATCGACGGAATTGTTGCTTTTGACGTGTAAGTTGTAATACATGTTACAATTTCTCTCTTTTTAATTAGCAAATGGTATTATAAGATGCTTCCCTTGCATTGCCTCTGCTTTTAGGCAAATATGCTATAAGTAAATAGTGTAGCTGTATTATTGGAATAAAAATTATGATTTGGAACTTTTGGTAGAAATTGATCTTTAATGACCTTTCATAATTTGAATAGAAGAACCAAATTGATCTTTAATGACCTTATATAATTTGAATAGAAGAAAATGATTTTTTTTTCAGAATCCTTAGGTGTTAAAAAATCTAATCTCTTTAGTTTTGAAATACAAAATAATTTTCTTCTTTGGCCCACGTTTTGAAATCCATGAGCCAACGAGGAAAAGGCGAAAAGAATGAGAATCAAAAGTTTATACTCTATATTTTATTAATTGATGTTTAAAACAAATAAATAGTGAGATTGATTATATGTCATAGCCATTTCCAGTATAAAAGGAAGGTTTAATAAAATCATATTTTCAATTTATTTTACTTTTTTTATATAGTTTCTGATTATAAAAATTATTCATGTTCAAATTCACATTGAAATTAGATGCATTGGCTATCGTAGACTGAACCCGACCATTCTTTTCATCCCATATGTAAATTATGTCATTATGGATTATTTTTCTTAGAAATATATTACCTTCAAACTTAAAGGGATATCACATGAGTAATTAAATGATGAAACGGTTAATAATTCTAAAAAAAATTATGAATATTTATAAGCAAAAAGGGGTAAAAAGTGCACATCAAGAAAATGAACGCTAAATGTGCTTATCTTAAGGACTAAAATTGAATTTATCAATAACCAAGTGATCAAAAGTACTATTATATTAACCCTTTTTAAAATTTCTTGCATTAATTTTTGGTAATGAAATTAGAAAAAAAAGGAAAAAATCTTTATCTTAACATAATGGAGGTTATATTTTTGTCTTTAAGAATTATTATTACTTACGTTACTTGTACACCAAAAAACCCAAAAAAGGAAAAAAAAAACACCTTTAAAACACCAAACAACACTATATATTCTCAAAAACCCTAAACCACTCTTTGTTCCCAAGTTTTTATCAAGTCCAAAAAAAATAAAATCTCAAAACAATGAAGGTGATCGCCACCTACTTGTTGGCTGTGTTGGGTGGAAACACCAATCCCACGGCGGAGGATTTGAAAGCAATTCTCTCCTCCGTCGGAGCGGAAGCTGATGATACAAAAATTGAGTTATTATTATCTCAAGTCAAAGGAAGAGACCTTGCTGAACTTATTGCTGCCGGAAGAGAGAAGCTAGCTTCAGTGCCTTCCGGTGGTGGTCTTGTGGTAGCTAGTGGTGGTGGTGCTGCTGCTGGTGCAGCGGTGGCGGAGAAGAAGGAGGAGGAAAAGAAAGTGGAAGAGAAAGAAGAGTCTGATGAAGAGGATTTTGTTCTCGATATCTTTGGTTAGACGAAGGAGTTTAATTTTTATGCGCTGACAGTATAACTGCAGTCTAAATTATTCATATTGGAACTGAAGTTGACATTCTGTTTAATTATTTTTTAGTTATTTGGTTTTTATATCTAATTAAGTTTATATCCTGTTCATGTTGGTTATATGCATGTTCAATTTTGTTCTGTTATTTTATATTTTTAATTTTAGTGTGTTGTTTTTTTAATTTTTTTTGATCAACTTTTACTTCCTCCAGACTTAAATCACTTAATATCTCTTAATATTAGAGTTGACATAAGTCATGGTTTTGAATCTTACCCACGAGAAACATGTTGAGAATATAATAAAACAAATAAAAATTTGTTATTAACTAACCGTTTGAATCATGCAAGTAGAAATCATGTATAGCCTAATCTTACTGTTAGCATTTTTAATTAAGTTTTAATACAATCTTATATCTGATTTTATCCCCACCTAGTTTTCTATCATGTGAAGGAATATTAGATGCGACCCTTAAGCCTTTTTGGCAAAGATGGAAAATATGTCACGAAACAGAAATTCAAGATTATCTTTGAATTTTTGGTATGTATTAGTTAGTCCATTAGTTTTTTAACCTATTAAATTAAACTCATTGTCTATATAATTTGGAAGCAATATCATCAAGATATTCATGGCTAACATACACAAAAAATTGAGAAAATCGTCAAATTCCTATAAAGTGACTCCTAAATGCTCAAAATATGTGTAAAAAATAGTGAGGCTTCACGTACTGCTCCCCCAACTTTCTACGGAAGGTTCAAAATGCCTAAAATATGTGTAAAAAATGGTGAGGATTCACATACTGCTCCGCCAATTCTGTATAGAGGGTTCTCTAAAGGTTTTGCAAGAAAATCATCCGGAAGCAAAATATCCAAAATATTCATAGGCTAACACACAAGAAAAACGGAGAGAATTGCAACACACAAGAAAAACTGAGAGAATTGGCAAATTCCTATAAAATGACTCCTAAATGTCCAAAATATGTGTAAAAAATGGCGAGGCTTCACGTACTGCTCCCCCAACTCCCTACGGAGGGTTCTGTAAAAGTTTTGCAAAAAAAATAAATGTTCGGAAGCAATATCACCAAAATATTCATAGGCTAACAAATACGAAAAACTGAGAAAACCACCTAATTCCTATAAAATAGCTCCTAAATGCTCAAAATATTTATAAAAAATGGTGAGGCTTAACGTACTGCTCCCCCAATTCCCTAGAGGGTTCTTTGAAAGTTTTTTAGAAAAATCATCCAAAAGCAAAATCACCAAAATATTCTTGGGCTAACACACACGAAAAACTGAGAAAATCACCTAATTCCTGTAAAATGGCTCCTAAATGCCCAAAATAAGTGTAAAAAATAGTGAGGCTTCACGTACTGCTCCCCCAACTCCCTACGGAGGATTCAATGAAGGTTCTGCAAAATAATCATCCGAAAGCAATATCACAGAAATATTCATGGGCTAACACACACGAAAAACTGAGGTAAATCGCCTAATACTTATAAAATGGCTCATAAATGCCTAAAATATGTGTAAAAAATGGTGAGGCTTCACGTATTAGTCTCCCAACTCCCCACGGAGGGTTCTGTAAAGGGTTTTAAAAAAAAATCATCCATAAGCAATATCACCAAAATATTCATGGGCTAACATACACGAAAAACTCAGAAAATCGCCTAATTCTTATAAAATGGCTCATAAATGCCTAAAATATGTGTAAAAATAGAGAGGCTTCACGTACCGCTCTCCCAACTATCTACGGAGGGTTCTATGAAGGTTTTGCAAAAAATCACGCGAAAACAATATTCCCAAAATATTTAGGGGCTAAACCCCACGAAAAACTGAGAAAATCTCCTAATACCTAAAAAAATGGCTCCTAAATGCCCAAAATATGTGTAAAAAATGGCGAGGCTTCATGTAATGCACCCCCAACTCCCTACGAAGGGGTCTGTAAAGGTTTAGCAAAAATAATCATCCGAAAGTAAAATCATCAAAATATTCATGGGATAACACACACGAAAAATTGAGAAAATCGCCAAATTCCTATAAAATGGCTCCTAAATGCCCAAGTTATGTGTAAAAATAGTGAGGCTTCACGAGTTGCTCCCGCAACTCCCTACGGAGGGTTTTGCAAAGTATCCATCCATAAGCAATATCACCAAAATATTTATGGGCTAACACACATGAAAAACAGAGAAAATCGTCAAATTAATTCCTATAAAATGACTCCTAAATGCCCAAAGTATGTGTAAAAATGAGGCTTCACTTACTGCTATCCCAACTCCCTACGGAGGGTTCTATAAAAGTTTTGCAAAAAAATCATTCGAAATTAATACCACTAATATATACATGGACACACACACAAAAAATTGAGAAAATCGTCTACTACCTATAAAATGGCTCCTAAATGCCCAAAATATGTGTAAAAAAGGTGAAGCTTCACGTACTGCTCCTCCAACTCCCTACGGAGGGTTCTGTAAAGGTTTCACAAAAAAATCATTCAGAGGCAATATCATTAAAATATTAATGGGCTAACACACACAAAAAACTGAGAAAATTGCCTAATACCAATAAAATGGTTCCTAAATGCCAAAAAATGTGTAAAAAATTATTAGGCTTCATGTATTGGTCTCCCAACTCCCTACGAAGGGTTCTATAAACGTGTTTTTTTAAAAAAAATCATCCAGAAACAATATCACCAAAATATGCAGGGACTAACATACACGAAAAACTGAAAAAATTGCTTAATTCTTATAAAATGGCTCCTAAATGCCCAAAATATGTGTAAAAAATAGTGAGGCTTCACTTACCGCTCTCCCAACTATCTATATAGGGTTCTATGAAGGTTTTGAGAAACAATCATCCAGAGTCAATATCACCAAAATATTCATGCGCTAACACCCACGAAAAATTGAGAAAATCTCCTAATACATATAAAATGACTACTAAATGCCCAAAATATGTGTAAGAAATTGTGAGGCTTTGCATACTACTCCCCCAACTCCTTACAAAGGGCTCTGTAAAGGTTTTGCAAAAGAATCATCAGAAAGGAAGATCACCAAAATATTCATGGGCTAAAACACAAAAAAAATTAGAAAATCACCAAATCCCGGTAAAATGGCTCCTAATGCCCAAAATATGAGTAAAAAATGGTGAGGCTTCACATACTGCTCCCCCAATTCCCTACGGAGGGTTCTGTAAAGGTTTTAAAAAAAATCATACGAAAGCAATATCACAAAAATATTCATAGACGTTAGACACGAAAAATTGAGCAAATCTCACAAATTCCTATAAAATGCCTTATAGATGCCCAAAATGTGTAAAAAATAGTAAGGCTTCATGTACTTCTCCCCCAACTATCTACGGAGGGTTCTGAAAAGGTTTTGCAAGAAAATTATCCGTAAGCAATATCACCAAAATAATTATCGGCTAACACACAAAAAATTGAGAAAATCGCCTAATACCTATAAATTAAAATGACTCATATATACCGAAAATATGTGAAAAAAATGGTGAGGCTTCAGACACTACTCCTCCAACTCTCTACGGAGGGTTCTGAAAAGGTTTTACAAAAAAATCATCTGGAAGTAA